GAGGGGATGCAGGAGATTAATTTTCTTTTTGTTGTCGTGTCACCAGGAGGAGACGGGCAGCCCAGTGGGCAGTGACAAGGTAGCGGATGAGGAGGGGGAGGACCTGGAGGATGAGGAGGAGTACGACGAGGAAGAGGAGGAGGATGACGACGACGATCGTCCGAGGAAGAAGCCGAGACACGGAGGGTTCATCCTGGATGAAGCTGGTGCGAACAGACGGCGATCTCTCAGACTCCTCGTGATGATGATGATGATGATGATGCACGTCTGACCCTGTGTTTGTCTGTCCAGATGTGGACGACGAGTACGAGGACGAGGATCAGTGGGAGGACGGCGCGGAGGATATTTTGGAGAAAGGTAAGAAAGTGGAGATGAGCGCTGTTGGGAATCTTGCAGCATGAGATTGATTTTAACCTCCAGACTCGATCCCGAGGCTCCGACTGACGGATCGAGTCTTTAATCACGTCGCACAAACTGGTTTCATCCATTAAACCAGTGAACAGATTACTGAACGTGCCGCACGATCCCAGTCTGCTGACAGCGCACCTGCTCAGGTGTAACCTCGGGGAGCCGTCGCCATCCCGCCTCTGGACACATCGCTTTTGTTTATCTGCAGCTTCTTATTAAAGTCCGTGTTTCGCACGCTGACGTTCAAAGAGTCCGATCGGTATTCACAACCAAAACTGTTGTGATGTCGCTGCTCTGAGGAGGGGGGCGAGGCCCGCGTTAGTCGTAGCCCGTCTTCAAAGCGACTTTAGTGCATCAGGGCGGCGCTGAAATGGCGGTGAGCTGCTGTGTGTTTGTGACTGAGCAGAACAGGTTGGTTACGTGAACCTCCACGAGCAAATAGCTGGAAATCACAAATCTGTTGGCGTCTGCACAGAACATCAAATGAACTCCAGCCCGAGCCTCCGAGACGTGCAACAGATTTAGAAATTGCTCCACGCCGTGGTCGGTGCAGGACGACAGTTTAGCTGCACCAAGACGGAGGTGCTGAGCGGCCCTCGCCCGATCCAGGAGTAGAAGCAGAATAGAAGCAGAATAGAAGCAGTCCCTGCTGCCAACATTTGTGTCGCCGGCTCGGATCATTGCAAGCTGCTGGCAGCGGTGATTGTGCGCTCTCCCGTGAAGCTCTGGGTGAAGTTAGTGTGAGTCCACAGTGCGACTCCTGGGCAGTTTGCAGTAACCAGCAGGAGTGAAACAAAGTTGCACAATGGCTGGATGAAGAGAGCCAAACATGTGGCAACACTCAGCAGGAAAACAGCGAGCGTGTGATCTGCAGTTAATGAGCTGAAATGTGCAGAAACGCCACAATCACCTCCTTAAATATTTATCCTGGTCTGTTCACAGAGAGACGCTCGCTGAAAGTTAGCTCCATGTTTCTCAACCATCACTGTTTCACGGGAAAAGTCCTTTAAGCTTTAAGCAGCCTCGCATCATGTGATGTGTCATCATTTCAGAGGAACAGACCCAGGAGCAGCTGGATGTTTGATCAGATTTGTCAGGGCTTACAAAGCGCCGCGGGCCGCACTCGACCCGGCCGCGTGTGGTCCAATCCGCATGACTTATTTATACCAGAGCTCGAATCACCGAAGCTGAGGCGGACCAGTTGTGCTGATCGGCTGCTGCCCGCCGAGGTCGTTAATCGTTTTTGAATGGCTCATCGCTAACGAGCAGCTTTTTCCTCACACTCGCTGTTTCACGTCCGTCGTCACAGCAGCCGTGTGCTGAGTGAAGGACAGTCAGATCGATCCAGTGTTGATAAGAGGAGCGTCCTGGATGTGTAGAACCTGGATGACGCTGATGACATCAAAACGTTTCCTGGTTTCTGTGTCTGTGAGGACGCGGTGGGAAACATTGAGCCGCTTCTTATTCGGGGCGCAGATGCGTCCAGAACGTTGTCAGTACTCGCGTCAACACGAACCGCGCCACGGGCAGGACCCTCACACGTGTCAGTAGGAAGTGGCGCTCTTACAGTGTGATGTTGATGTGTGCAGGCTGTTTTCTGACTCTGCTCTCTCTGTCTTGCCGGCTCCTCTGTCGTGCATGCGGCCTCCAGTTAACGGTAAATCTGCTCCCGACGCTCTCCTGCTCTGTTGTCCATCGATGCTGTAAATAGGATTCCAGCCCCATCCATTTGATTAAATCCACGTCCCTGAGTGTATTAACCCCACCACCACACCTCATCTCAGCATTGCTGCATTCGTGAGTGTGTGGCGTGACGCGAGGAAGCACCGAGGGCAAATCCATGACTGGCTCGTTGAGCAAAAAACACCAAACGGCAGATTAAAGAAAGTAGAAACTCTTTGAATTGATGTTTGAACCTAAGACGACTCTCAGAGCACCAAGTGTGACCATTTGCCCGAACCTGCTACCTGACGGAGCCGCCATGATTTCAGTTTACACACTAACCAATGTGGGTGGAGCTTTTGTGATGATGATGATGCTGATGATGATGATGGTGGTGTTGCATAGCTTTGCTGAAGGTGGATGTACAGTAGAAACAGAATCGAAGCAAAAAGCTGCGTCTAAACCGTTGTGCCGGTTGCCCGGGTAACCGATATGTAGATTCAGGATGTTTACGCTGTCGTGTCGACCTTAGCTTAGCGCCACTGCGTTGGTTGACATGTGACCCAGCTGTGACATCAGCTGTGACATCATCATAACCAACGACTCTGATCTGTGAGCTCCTTCGGTGACGCTGGCGTCTCTGAGTCGCCGTGAACGTGTTTTGGGCGGTTAGCGGCAGCGAGGGCCACGGCTAGCTTAAACGTGTCGTACTGTGCGCTCGCCTCTCTGATCTGAGCGAGGTGACGTCACTTCACCGCTGCTTGTTTCTAACTTTATTTAAACCAGACTGGGTGAGCGGGTACCTTCGCGCCTGATTTGATTGGCTGACAGCGGCGCTGTGTTTCTGCTGTACTTCCTCCTGAACCACATCACGTCTCCATGCTCCCCCGTGCTGCACGTCACCGATAATCACCGTGTTGTTGTTTGTGTATTTTTCCCATCATGCTTTGTGTTGCTGCTGCCTGACTCACTGTTTTGGCTCCTCACACTTTCTCCCTCCCTTTTGGGTTCGTCTCCCGTCCTTCCTCCCCCTCGTCTCCTTTTTCACTCCTCTTCCTCTCTGCGGGCGTCCTGAGCAGAGGAGGCTGAAGGTAAGTTTTTCATGTCATAGCTGTCGAATACGCTTCAGTTCACTGGACCGGAAACAAACCGTCTCTTCTCGCCTTCAGTGTCAAACATCGACCACGTGGTTCTGGATGAGGATCACTCTGGATCCCGGCGGCTGCAGAACCTCTGGAGGTAAAGCTTTTGTTTTTGACCGCCAAAATAAAAGTCTGAGGGTTTTTATTAGGAAGGGACTGAAAGCCACAGTTTGATCTGCTGATGGGAAACTTTCAGTCTGTGGGAGACTTCACTCCCCTGCTCGGTCTGATTGGGGGCGTGGCCATCCGCCATTCCCAGCAGGTAACACGCAGACTGTGGTTTACTTTGTACTGAGCCCCGCCTACATACAGGGAATGATTTACCCTGCAAGGGGCACGAGTATCGTCTGCACAGCTCCATTCAGCTGAAACCTTTAACCTTTCAAGTAAAATAAAAGCTGGATATTATTTAAATGGCACAAAGCGCCGTCCAACCAGACCAGCCTGCGTTTTTAAACAGAATAACGTGTCGCTGAGATTCTCAGCCTCAGTTTGACGAGCTCACGCGTGAACATTGAGTTTGTCTTTGTGTTGCAGAGACTCCAGGGAGGAGGCGCTGGGCGAATACTACATGAGGAAGTACGCCAAGTCGTCCGGCGGCGAGCAGTGAGTACCTTTGTCCTTCCTCCTGCAGGTTTGGCTCCTCTGCCTCAGACACCACGGCACGCTGAGCTGCCTGCGTCTGTTACTTTAGTGACGTCACATGACTCTTAATTGTGGCGAGCTGGACGAACTGTTCCTCACACAGACTGTGACAGACCAACAAAACTGTTGCTTTTTCTTCTTCTGTGGTGCGCAGTTACTCTGGAGGGTC